CGGTGGGTCCGTCCGGGTTCTCCAGAGAGGGAGCCGATGGGATATACGTGTGCGTGTGTGCACAGCATGTGGGTTTATGCGAGGAGTCGGCTCGTGGGGCTGGGGGAGCCGGCGGTTCAGACCCTGTAAGGTAGGGGCGGCAGGCTGGGAAGCCAGAATGAGTTCCTAAGTGACGGTCTCCAGGCGGAATTCCTTCTCATCTGGGAAACCTCCGTCTTCGCTCTTCAGGCCTTCACCTGATTGGACGAGGCCCACCCGCATCCGAGTGGTCTCCTTTACTCAACGCCAGCTGCCTGGGGGTGTCGACCGCCTCTTCACAATCCCTTCATGGCAACACCTGCACTGGTGTTTGCCAGAACAACCGAGCAACACGGCCTAGCCAGGCTGACACCAAACTGTAACCATCACAGCTAGCCACGGCCAAACTCATTTTCCAGACCGACTTTCGAACCGTGCCGCCTTGTCCTGGTCCCTCCCGGGGGGAGGCGGGGCGGAGAGGACAGCGCCATGCATTCCCGCCGGAGGGATGGGATGTGACCTGGAGAAGGACACAGACTGGGGCGCTGCTCACCCTGCAGCCGGCGCTGGGCCACTGCTCCACTGGGTGGAGCAGGCCAGCCGTCCCCGCAGACAGCCCACAGCCCCGGGAGGAGGACCTTGTGTGTCCCTCCTCCTGCCCCAGTTTCAGTCGGTGACTCACGAAAGAGTCCCAGCTCCGCGTGGCTCAGACAGGCTGCTCCCCGGGACCCAGCCCTGGGGTTGTGGTGTCGTCCTCCAGAAGTGACGAGCACTCCTGTTTGCCGTGGGTCACTTCGCTTTTGAAACATAGGATTTCTCGTAAGGATGGAGCGCCATCTGGTGGGGCAGAGGTGCTCAGCAGCTGATCCCCCTCAGCCGCTGGAGAGGAAATGCAGAGCACTGGCTGGTGGAGAGAGACAGCCTCGGGGGTGCACGTGGTGTGTGTGCTGTGTATGCAGTGTGTGTGTGGTGTGTGCAGTGTGTGTGTGTACACAGTGTATACTGTGTGTGTGTGGTGTGTGCAGTATATACAGTGTGTGGTGTGTGCAGTGTATACAGTGTGTGTGGTATATGCAGTGTATACAGTGTGTGTGTGTACATAGTGTATACTGTGTGTGTGCAGTATATACAGTGTGTGTGGTGTGTGCAGTGTATACAGTGTGTGTGCAGTGTATACAGTGTGCATGTGGTGTGTGTGTGCAGTGTATACAGTGTGTGTGGTGTGTGTGTGCAGTGTGCACAGTGTGTGTGTGGTGTGTGTGTGCAGTGTATACAGTGTGGTGTGTGGTGTGTGCGGTGTGTGTGTGGGGTGTGGGTGCGGTGTGATAACCAGTCCCCGGTAAAACATTGCCCACAGCACTGCCCCATCTGACGGCTTGTCCCCGAGCTGTGCACACAGGACACGGACGTGCACGTCCAGGTGAGGAGTTGACAGTTCTCCCTCTTCCAGCTCATTGGCCAGGACTCCTCCCACCCCCTGACCCAGGAGCCTCGGGGAGGGGGGAGCGGTGGGGGGGATGCCCTGGGTGGGGAGGGCCGCTGGCCGACTCTGGGAGGTGCTGGGAGCAGGGCAGAGGCAGGAGAGCCCAGGGGACCTGGTCGACTGGGTCCCAGTGAGGCCACCAGGCTGAGGTGCACTCCAGGGCTGGGGGGACACTGAGGGGAGAGGCTGAGCCCTGGGGAGGTGCTGCGGGGGCTCGGTGCTGGCTCTTTCGGGAGTGAGGGCCCCGCAAGACAGGCGCAGCCCTGAGGGTCGGGAAGGGTCCTGGGAGAGCCAGAGGCCGGGCCTGCAGGCCGGGGTCTGCCTGCAGGTGCACTGAGTGTGTGTGTGTGTGTGTGTGTGTGTGAGCACACATGCCTTCACTTGCCTTTCAGTGTTGTCCTTCACTTTCTCTGCCTACAATGCCTGACAGTTTTGGCATTCAGCCTTAAAAAGGAGCCAAACCCCAGCACTTCACCATTTTGCAGAACTTACAACGCGGCACGCGGAGCTTCACACACCCTCCGAGCTCAGGTTTTACAGCAGCAGGTCGCACTGCCCCCTGGCGGCCGGCGAGGAAAACGCTGCCGGGATCGGGGTCACTGGGTGAAGAGGAGGGAGGACGCCAGACCCGCCCTCCTGCTCCCCGGGAGCCGGCTTCCAGGGCTGGGGGCCTTGGAGGGGCCCGGCCACGCACTCAGCCCCGCTCCGTGGAAGGACAGGCGGAGACGCACCTGCACCGATGGGCCGGGCTCCGTCAGTCGGTCAGTCCATCGGTCCTCGGTCGGTCCGCACGTCCGCGATGCCGCCGCGCCCAGAGTCCAGGGTGGAAGCGAAGGGGCGTCAAGGAAGCTGTTTCACCTAAACAGCCGGTGGTTCGGCAGCTCCGCCCCTAGACGAGCGGGCCCCTAGTCCGGGGATAGTGCATTCCCCGTCTCCCAATTCTGGGGCCACGCTGGGGTGACGCAGCAGGGCCTGGCTGGGCGACAGCGGCGAGGACACACACACACAGATGCAGGTGCGGCCAGGAGCCCGGACCCTGGGCCGCCCGCCGCTCCCCCTCGTCCCCCTGGCAGGCGGGTCGCCCCGCCTCTCACTGCAGGTGGCGGCGGTTTGGGGGGGTGCTGGCAAGGGCCGCCGGTGAGATTCACCATCTCGTCCCTGGCACCGGTTCCACCCTGCTCCCTCCTCAGGCGGTCTTTGCCTCCGTTCCTGGACCCCCGAGCATCCCCGCTGCCGAGACGTCCACGGTGGACTTGACATTGTCCCTGAACACGCCGCGTCCGTTCCTGCGTTTCCTCCTCCAGGGAACCGCACCCCATCCACCCAAGTCAGAGACTCCGGCGTGGACCCGAACCCGCCACGTACTCCGTCCTGCCTTCTGATCATCGCCGAGGCCCGGCTCCTGTCCAAGCCCACCGCCTGCCCTGCCCCACGTGTGCTGGTGCCCCGACTCTGGTAGTGGATCCTCTGGGCGCCCCCACCCCGCCCTGGCACCTGGGTGTGGGTTTCCCCGGCTGCTGGGAATCCCGGCGGCTGAAGGATCGCTGCTGGCAGAGTCTCCGACAAGCCTAACCTCTCAGGGAAGTTCGGTGCATATTTCCTGGAGGAACGAAAGAATGTCTGTTTCTCTTCAGAGGCTGCCACCACTCAATACACGTCCACTGCACGTCTGTGTGCCAGACGCTGTCCTGGGCCTGGGGGACGCGGGGGTGGGCAGAGCAGTCTGGCTGAAGGGACTCCTGCCTCCGTCCCGTTGTCCATGCAGCGCCCTCTGCTGGAAGGTTCTTTATCACCCTCAGCTCCTCGTGGGCTCTCCACCAACTGACCGGCCTGTCGAGACTTCTCAGGGAAGCAGCATACAAAACCACGCATCTTCCACGTCTGGTTAGCATGTCACAAGTATTGTTTGTGTCCTGTAAGTCTCCCCTCGGCTGTCCTCCGAGCCTCTGAGGGGAAACGGACCCGTCTGCACCTCCCCCGGCGGGAGTGGCCGGTATGCACACTCGGTGCGTGCGGTGTCTGCTGGTTGATGGCATCGGCGGACACCGGCCCTTGGCACCGGTCAACTTAAAAAAAAATACTGGGGGCTACCTCAGTCTTTAATACCACGGTTGGCTGGCCGCTCTTGAGCGGAGAAGAAAGGAGACTGTTGGGTGGGCAGGGCGCCACGACAGCTGTCTGTTAAGCAGCGCCATTCTTTGCCTTGTAGCTGCTGTTTGACATGAATACTCGCGGGGGTGTCCCTTCTGGGAAGCCTGTGCCTGCGTCTGCGGTCAGAAGAGCATGCGGGTGGATGTAGGCTGCGAGGCCGCCTTGATTTCTCGGAGCCTCGGGCTGTGTCTACCCTCTGGGCTGCAGGGATCCCGAGGCAAGGAGGGGGCGTGGGTCAAGGTCGTTATTACTCCCCACGTGGGAACCCAGTGAGCTCCCATTTGAATGCTCCTGGGCTAAATTAAAACCAGCAGAAGGAGCTTTGGCTGCCTCTGCCATGGAAACGGCGGCCACTCCGTCCTCTTGGTTCCTTCCCACACGCTCACGGCCCACATTTTAGGAGCTAATTGTGTTTACTTCACGATGCTGATGCTGAGTGAATACACCCGCAGTGTACCTAACGGGGCTACACTTTTTTACGCCCTGACTTTTCAGCATTCAGGTATTTAAAATGCTGCACTGTGAAACTGCAACGTTCTGGAATTTCGGTGTCGACGTATGAGGTTCCTGTCAATGCAATGACGAAAGGATTTACCTGGCTGGATCTGGTGCCTAGGCCCTTGTTAACATCTGTATCAGGAGGAAAACAATGGGCAAGTTCATCGACGGCGCTGGAGGTTTTATTCCTTCCCCCTACGGTTTGGTGGATCATAATTCACAAACAAAAGAAAAGGTATCTGCACCTCCCTGGGCCCGACCCACAGGGCCCTGGAGAGCGAGGCTCGGTGTGCGTACGACGTTCTCCACCTAATCGGACCGAGACCCACTCGGGCGCGGTTCCTGACGCTGCCGCACGGCAGTGGTGTCCCCGCCCCATGAGCACGGGGCACGTCCGTCGCCTCACGCCTGTGGGTAATTTTCACTGAAGATTCTAAGCAAAGACACTTTTGAGAACCACCAACATGGGGTGAGTTTCGATTTCTCCCGTTTGGAGGTTGTTCAATTGTACCACCTCTCTCCTCTCAAGACTCCGGACGCACTGCGTTGCCCACCCCTGTTCTGCGTACTTCTGGGGAGGCGGGATGGGACTCATCGATGGTGGGAGGGCGTACACACCGCAAGCAGCCTCGGGGAGTCTGCCGCTCCACCCAGAGCGGGGCGGGGGGGAGGTGTGTGGTCCCAGAAGGGCTGTGACCCGGGGAAGCCCCAGCCCCACCCCCACCCCCGCGGCTCCAGTGACCTGGCAGGTTCTTGTTGTTTTCAGAGTGGAGCCCCCCACGGCCTTCAGGACGGAGCTCTTCTCTCCCGCCCGCACCCTGAGCTTCGGGGGCGGGGGAAGGGCCCTTACCTGAGCCACGGCCACTGAGGCGGCTGGCGCGCTGCACTCGCCGTCGTGCGCCGCTTCCCCGCAGTCCCGGCAGAAGACGAGCTGCAGGAGAACACAGGGGCGTCAGACGGGGCTGCTGGCGCGCCGGGCCGCACCGCGAGGTCCCCCCCCTCCAAGCTCCTCCCAGCCACGCCTCGGACGCGTGTCACGGTTTCTGCATCGCATTACTTTTTGCAAAGAGCGACCCAGTGGCATTTAGGTGGGATCGGCCACTGCTGACTGAGGAACGCTCCAGGCCCCGCAGAGGGTGTGAGAGACGGGGTCCCCTCCCCGTTCCTCAGGACGTGTCCCGCCTGGGAGGCCGGAGTGCCAGGTGTAGGCACCTGGAGTGGAGTGTCACCGGTGTCAGATGACGAGAGAAACAATCGCGCTAAAGAATTTCACGTCTAATATCGGGCTACGTACAGAGAGAGGGCGGATGTGGTCACGCGAACACCCTTAGTTTTGCATGAAAAGCCTATTTTGGGTGAAGAAATGCGCCGTTAAGGGCTCAGTCCTACCCCTCCCAAAATCAAATGCTGAATTCTGTCTTTTCCCGAAAATACGAAACTTCATTTTTTATGCAACGTTACCTGAGGTTCAGGTGTACGACGTGATAATTCAATATCTGTGTCTATTGTAAGTCAATCATCACAATGTGTACTCAGCCCCTGTCACCGCCTGTCGTTAGGGACTTTCTCCCTCGTGATGAGCACTTCTCAGATCGGCTGTTAGCTGACACCAAACATGCACCACGGTCACGAGTCACTACATCACACGCCCCTGACTTGCTTAGTTAATGATGGGCAAGTCTGTGCCTTTTGACCCGTTTAGCCCACCCCCCGCCCTTTACTTCTGACAACTAGTGATCTCTGCTCTAGGAGCTTGGGTTTTGTTTGTTTTTAGATTCCACACAGTAAGTAAGATCACACGGCATTTTGTCTGTCTCTGGCTGATTTACCTCACTTAGCACAATGCCCTCCAGGGCCGCCCAAGTTGTTACAAATGGCAGGGATGGGGAGAACCAGCTCTATCCTAAGTGCATCGCCATTCCTCCTGGCCTCACAGAGAACGGATCCCGCGCCCCCCCCCCCCGCCCCCAGACACCATTTCCCTCACCTCTCCGTCCCCACGGAAACAGACTCCCTGCCTTGCTGTGTCCCGTCCCTTGTCTGAACAGCTCATCTGAGGTTATTTCACTCTCGGGACTCAACAGGCCAGAAAGGCAGCACTTGTAAGGAGGAAGGGCCTCTTCTGCAGGTACGCGCACCTGCCTTCTGGCCGGCACGGTCAGAGAATTAGTCTCACCATTGTTTTCTCACAGCAGGGAGACGGAACCCAAACTTTGTGGGGTGTAAACTTTACTTAAGGGTTCAGGTTGGTGGGAGGGGGGGCGGGTGTTAGGATGTCATTATGCAGATCACCCATACGACCGGCTTTTAATTTCTGACATTTGTATTTTCCCTGAATGGAACGCTATTGCAGTGAACAGTGAATTTCCTGGAATTTCCTCTTAAGTTTTTTTTTTTTTTTCTAATGTATTTGCTCATCTTGGGTTTGCCCGAGACCTACCAGGCTGCTCCTGGGTGCCCTCCTGAAAAAAATCGAGGCTGCCTGGCCCCGCCAGGCAAGCTCACAAAGGGTCTCGCCCGCCGCTTCCTGCGGCGCAGGGCTGTGCTGGCGGCGGGTTGGAAGCGCTTCCCATCCTATCAGCCGGCGGGTGAGACACACAGACTCGGTCTCCGGGGGGAGAACCGCCCCCTGGAGGTGGGTCAGTTTATCAGAATAAACAGGCCTTCGCCAGAGAGTGGATGATTGGCAGGGAGGGGGGACCCCAGAAAAGAAAGAGCACCTAGGAGTTAATGCCCACCATGTCACTACGGCGAAGGAGAGGTAAAAGCCACGAAACTGGGCGGCGACCATTTGTCACGGACGCCCTGGTGGCTGTGCTTCCGTTCCGAGAGGGTACCTGGGATTTAGTTACATTGCGCGGCGGGCTTCCTTCCGTGACTCCGGCGGGCCTCACGCCAAGTCAGGGGGAGACGCCCGGACAGGCCGATCCGACCTCCAAAACGGCCGGGTTCTCGGTTACGTCACCCAGACCTCACGACTGTCGACAAAGCGCTGGCGCGGGTGCGCAGGCCTCAAGTTCCCAAACTGTGCGCCCCGGCACCCTGGGGGCCGCAACAAGCTCCCGGGGTGCAGCGGGCGCGTTCAGTTTTGGAGGGACGCACGCTGGAACGCAGCGGCTGCTAGATCCGGTGCGCACTGGTGGCGCGAGGCTGCGCGCGCGCGCTCCCGCCCCCGATGACGTCATAGGCTTGCCGGGCTGGAGGTCCCTGCAGTTACAACACCGCCACAAACCGCAAACTAAGCGACGGCCACCACGCGAACCTCTATGTGGAACAGGAGATGTCGTTCTTTAAGAATGAAATTGAAAAAATGCATTTTTCAATGTATGCGAACTATTGTTTTCCAAATGACTCTTAAGTTATGAAGACATTCCTTCGTGTGTTATTTGGACCAACATATTTTTACACAGAACTATTTAGGCATTTCCTTTGGCTTACAAGCACCCTGAAAAGCGTGCTGAGCTGCCGAGGGTGTGGCGATCGGGGAGGTCAGGAAACTGGGGTTCAGGCGGATCCCAAAAGCCCGGAGGCTCCGTTCCGGCCAGTCTGCAAGCGCGGCCAGGGGCGCAGATGCTGCTGGGGGAGGAGCTTAGGAGACGCACATCGGCTCCGGGAGCTCAGGCTCACTCTGCTGAGTGCATGCCTGTCACTGGGCACACGGTACCGCGTTAGCGGGCAGTGGAGGGGGCTGCGTTATACCCGGAGGCCTGCTCTTAACTCGCTGTGGCCTCCCTTACCTGACGCCCGAGGTGTCTAGGAGCAAGTCGGCACCGAGTGGGCAAGACCGCCAGACGTTCGACAATGAACTTCTCTTGAGACAGATCTCACAAATGCCCTCCCCTCCCATTTCCTTACTTACTTAAAAAAATATTTTTTAAAGCCTTTTAAAAATGGTAAAAGTATGCATACTTACTCTACTGGCTTTCTGAGCTCTACCCCCTTATTAGGGAGGATTGGAAAGCAATTCAAGACACTGTATTAGCTCCTGTGAAGTTCGTTCTGTGTGTCTAGCTTGGCTAGCTTACAGCTCCGAGTTACTTAATCGAATGCTAACCCAGAGTCTCCCTGGCGGTGTTTGGTGGGTCCGCCAGGCCCACAGTCAGTTTGCTATTATAAGGAGGGGGGATAACCCTACGGCATCTGCGTGGGGCCGACCCAGTCAGCTAAAAGGTTGTGAGAGCAGAACCGAGGCTTCCCCAAGCAGAAGGGGATCATCTGTGGACAACAGCTTCGGGCTGCACCTGAGATTTCCGGCACCCCTCCTGGTGGCCTGGCCCGCGGATTCAGGGCTTGCCCAGCCGTCCCACAGCCACACAAGCCGAGTCCTTGCAATCAGTCCCTTTCGCTCTGCAGGCATGTTGATAGGGATACAGACTCAGAGTGCCCGTACATCTCTACGCATCCTGGGACCCATGGCTGCAGCTGAGCATATCCACCTCCATGTCCACATCCGTATCCATACCCACACCCACATCCGTATCCATACCCACATCTGTATCATTTCCAACTGTTTCTGCCTCTCTGCTAGAGCCCTCCGCTCCTACAAAAAAATTCACTAGGTCAGTTTATCTTTGCTAGGTCTGCTACTCTTTTGAAAAGGACTGATGTAAATAACTACCGAATTTTCTATGTGATTTGCAAAACTGTTGTTCAAATGTCTTCCCATGATTTTTTTTTTTTCATTCCAGGTGTCCACAGGACATTTCCTCTTAGAACTTAGCCCCAGGAGTCCGTCCCTCCCAACTGGGTGATTGTTTCTCTGTAATTTGACAATGAACACGGCAACCCAATACGTTTTGTTCTCTTTGGGGTTAGCTGCTGGGGAGGTTGGAGCCGGCTCCCCGGGCAACTGTCGTAATCAGCTCATCCTCGGGGCCCACAGTGGGGCGTACAATTTGGAAACCACTGTTTGCTAAGTGATAATTCGACAGGCTGACGTTTTCCTTCCAGGGAAGCCTCGATGTCGGAGAGACCTGGTGGGGGGGCCCATTTCCATCCTTGACTGGCTGTGGGACACCAATGTCCCCTTGCTTTGGTTTGTATCTGTGAGGCAGAAATTACATGACGACAAATATTTCACACAGTTTCTGGCACATGGTAAACTCAACACATGATTTTTTAAAATAGAATGATGATTTTTATAACCAGTAACATTCTATAGAATGTAGAGGTGATTCCCAGTACACTGGTAGGACCTACTGTTACGTGGAAGTCCCGGGCAAGGCCGGGGACCCCAGGACCGCCGTGTCGAAAGCGGTGCTGGTGTCCCTGCGCTCATGTGCGTGTGCAGAGACATCGGCCAGTCCCCTTGCACGGGCCAGGGCTGCCGACCAGCTCTGTGAACTGCCCACCACGTTTGTCACTCAGCGTCATGTCGGCAGAGAAGCCCTTTGATCGGTGTTTGAGTTTGATTCCCCACACGCCGATAATGGAGACATTCAAGAGGAGATGTGCGCACATACTCCCGTTGGAGACATGAAAAGGATTCGCACCAACGGCCGCCAATGCCACCAGAACATTCCAGCGGCTGCCGATCCATAAAGCCGAGAGCCAGCCCGCACCTCCGCGTCACGACCCCCACACGAAGGGCTGGGTCTCGGAAGCTGGAAGCTCTACGAAAACCCGAACGTCTTTGTGCCGGGTTGCTGTCACAGCGGCGTCTGTGATAAAAGTATTTGGTTAGGTGGCATTTGTTTTTCTTCCGCGGCTCTGAAGTTCTGCGTTGCGAGGATGGGGGAGAACCAAATGCCGTCCCAGGAAACATCAAAAGCCCCCCCCGACCCCCGAACACACACCTGGGCTTGTCTGGGAACGGATGCACATGCTTCACGTCGATGCACGACAGTCCAGGAGATGGCAGTGCTGGCTCACGGGACCCAGCCTCCGAGCCTCGGACACAGCGAGCGGGGCTCCCCACGGGGGCCAGCCGCC